GTCTGAACTTGTGGTGGTGGATTAGTGTAGAATTTATTGGCACGCTATTTAGTAGACCTGACCCGTTGTGGCTCGGTTCACCTAATCGTTACAGCTTTTGTGAAAAATGCATTGCTCGTGTGGGGAGGACGACCCTTTGAAACATCCTTGCAAGGCTTGTTAGGTGACTACATACATCCTCTCGAGTGCCGATGTGTTTGGTGATCAGCATTGTTCGTTGCATCAAGTGAAACAGAGAGCGTGAGCAGATGATCGGGCTGGTTGTTACATTCTTCTTCTCGGAGGAGGACAGTAAGAATGTGTTTGGCATGGAAGTTGTGTTTGGGGCCGTGCTAGTGGCTGAACACTACCGACTATATAAACAGGTTGATTTGATGACTGTTTTGATGAGAAATGGACATATTACTCTTTTTTTCTTTTTCTTTTTTTTTTCTTTTTTTTGAATTGTGTGGAACTAGCCATGTATTTTTTTGGGGGTAACGAGACATTTTGCACTTAGAAAAACAAAAGGTATTAGATGCCATAATGTTATACATGAAAGTTTTAAATCCGATATATTAACCGTCCACATTTAGTTCCCGGTTGTTATCCAAAACTTCTCATGTTTCTTTCATACAATTACGCCAACTTGTTAATCACACATGCGCCCTTTGTTTTTGGAAATGAAATTACAACTCAAACATAAATATTGAATCAACAATATGTCCAAATGAAATTTTGAAATAAACAGAAACAACAAAGGGGGAGGATAATCGAGCCCCGTGTTCTACACTGTCCTTAAAAGGAGATAGTCCCTCTACACTGTGTCCTATAATTTATTTATTAAAATTGATTTTAGTAAATTATTAATTTATATTGATTAATAATGAAGAATAATTGAGTTAATCAATAATAAATTAAAATCAATCAGACCGTTAAGTTGATGAGACGCTGAATCAATTACTGATTGGCCGCTGAATTAATAAAAACTGTCATTATTATAATTTTACAAAACGTTGACCATTTATGAAAAAATCCTTCAAAACAAGTTATTTACTGGTTGTAAACCCGCGCGTTACGGTGAGTGATAATTTTGTATTATACAGAGTTGATAGTCTATATCTTACAAACTTAGGTTACATTAGGGGTGTAAGTCGGCCGGATAGGGTCGGGTTGAGCCGAAAAATTGAGCCGACCCGATCAGTGCAGGTTGAGAAAATTTTGGGCCGCAACACTCTCTTAAGATCACAAACCCGCAACTTGTCGGGTGAGCTCGGGTAGGCTCGGGTTACTCGGGTTAGTGAAAACTAATTTTAATCTTTGACTTCATACCTCTTATTGGTGTCATGTCTCCTACTATCACACGCATATGTTGCCCCACAGTAGATAGCCATAAATAATGGTTCTGAACTCTAGCCCCACAGTAGATACCATAAACAAGATTAAACAAAGCACAACATAGCCATAAATACTGAACTCTACAACAAGATCATCGACGCATGATAATATGAGCAGAGGTGCAATTTACCTAATTTACAGATTGGCAAAAGCTTTTTTCCCTTCATACGTAACTCATTGGCTTCATCTTTTGTCAATCCACCAGCAGCCTCTTGGATAAGTTTGGGGTAGACCGGCGCAGCTGGTTTCCACAGCATCACGGGGTACTGTGGACGATTAGCATAGTTGTAATTCCTACCACGGAATAGATAAACTGCACCTCCCAGCTCGATGAGTGATTTTTCCACCAGTTTTGTTCTGTCATCACAAACCTCACTTTCAATGATAAATCAATCAAGTGGATGTAAATGCCTACAGAAAATTGATAAAATTCGCTAAAAACCAGAAAGCTAAAAAATTCTGTGACGACCCTAAGTTTTGATCATCATCCTATACTCATACTTAACATTACTTAACCTCTAACACTTACTAATTATAACCTCTTAAAATTCAGGCCAACTTTTTTTTTTCCATGTACGTCTAAATGATGTAGCATTTAGCTAGCCTTCTCTTTTCAAGTATTTGTAAAATGCTGTAGCATTCTAACAGCATTCTGTACATTAGTCATTGTCAAAATGCTGTAGCATTCTGACAACATTCTGTTATATTAGTCATACCTAAAATGCTGTAGCATTCTGACGGCATTCTGTTACATTAGTCATCAAAATACATAAAATACTATTTTATTTTACACATAATGTTCAGCAGCGTTTCCAAAACACGTGATGCATCCACAACCCACTTGCCCACACTCCACTGCTGCATCCTCTCTGCATGCCCAACAACAAGTTTCAGGGAGCCGGTGCTTAACCCGAGCTTCCTACAACACGAACAAACTTAATGAGCTTTCGCTCAGCAAGTATCAATAGGTCATAACAGATGCAATAATTATGCATACCCATATAACAACTGTCCAAGATTCAAATTTAGAAACCAGATAACTTATAAGGATAATTCCTCAGATTTAGGATCAACTTACTACTAGACCAAATGTTATCCAGGAGAACAACGAGAAAATAACTATGATTCGGGAACGGTTGTTAATAACTCAAAGTCATCAAAAGAGCTATGCTAACAAAAAGCGTAAACCTTTGAAATTCTAAGAAGGTGATTCTGTTTTGTTGAAGGTTTTTCTGCGCAAAGGAGTTATTCGTTTTGGTTTAAAAGGGAAACTAGCGTTATGATACATTGGACCATTCCCGATTGTGCAACGAGTCAGTGTCGTAGCTTATCGTCGCGCCTTACCGCCTGAGTTATCTCACATGCATGACGTGTTCCATATCTCCATGCTTCGTAAATGCCAACCCGATCCAGAGGTTGTGGTGCAATGATATGACATTCCGATCCAGTAAGACACAACATACGAGGAAGCACCAATTTAAATTTTTTATCAGAAAATAAAGAGCTTGCATCATCACGATATTCAATTAGTGAAAGTGTTGTGACAACACCATCACGTCGAGGAATAAAATAAAACGAGGAATAAGAGAGAAAAAAAGAACAAAAAATGCCGGCAAAGTTTCGACAGAGGAAGAGACAGTCAAAGCAAAATCATCGGCCAAAGAAAAAACCACCAAAGACCTAAAGCTCAGGAAAAGAGAAGGAAAAAAAAAAACGCTCGACAGAAAGAGAAGAAGAGCAGGCGGACTAAGCAAACCCATCGAAGGAAATGAACCACAGCCCTTCGACAAAACCAAAATGCCCGGAAAACCAAAAATGAGAGCAAATGAGGCTTTCAGCACGAAAGGGCAAAAACGCCCATTCCCAAATTATAACATTAAAAAGACGCATACGCCCCCGCACAGAAAGAACAAAGAGAAGAGAAACCAAGGGCATTTCTGGGGGAAAAAACACTGTACAATAAACGGTGTTATGTGCCTAGATGAACAGTGAAAAAGATCCCTCCTTTAGTAATATATAATAATGTTGAAATTAAATATAAAAAAAAGTTAGACCCGAAAAGAAGTCGTCTCGCAAAAAGAAGTCCTTCTTGATCATGTGCTTTACTTTTATACTGTGGAACACAGTTTCGTTTTTCTTTTATATGATTTCCACTTCCAAGCTTCACATTGACGCTGATTCTCTCTCTTGATCGTTCAGATTGTTTTGTCCGCTGCGCTTCATCACTTTCTCCATCCTTGGAAGGTAAAATTTACGTTTTTTCTCTTTACTCTTTTCTCATTTCTAAATTCACGAAAATGTCTCCTTCCTAATGCTGAAACTTAAATGAGGAACAATAGAAGATATTGCATAACTTTGAAGCTTCTTGTGTTCTTTCTTCATTATCATTATCTGTCTTAGGCTCATAATAGCATGTGTTTGAACTAAGCCAATTCTTAATAGTAGATTATTATTATTTTTTTTATTGTTATTATTGTTAACGATAATCCATAAGTAATTATTACTATTATTATTATTATTAGGGAGAATGTAGTAAATAGTTGATTTATGAAACTAAATTAAGTGAATAATATATTTAAAATTATTTTAAGTAAACAGTATCTTATTATGTAAATGTTTCATTTACGATTAGTAAAAAGATTTCTTTTTCCCATAAATTTTCTTCTTACGACTAGTAAAAAGATTTGTTTCACATAAATAAAGATTTCTTACCACATTATTTTTTACCAGTAATAAACAAAATGTTTACGCGGTTATTTACTTCAAATAATTTTAAAATATGTCATTTACTTAATTTAGTTTCATAATCTGCTATTTACTACAATTTTGTTATTTTTTAAATCATTGTTATTTTAAAGATAGCCCATTAGTAATTAGTATTTCTTGATGATTTTGTTTGGTTTTTCTTTTTAATTAACTTAATTGAGTTACATTAAACTGATCTCATACACAGTTATAGTGTGGCCTAAATTATCATAATTCCCCTTATTTTGAGAAGCAAAAAGAATTTTTCAACAAAAATAAACATTTCTTACCACGCAAATTATTTTTTACTAGTTATAAACGAAACATTTACGTGAGAAACTGCTATTTACTTCAAATAATTTTAAAATATACTATTTATTTAATTTAGTTTCAAAATTTGATATTTATTACAATTTTGTTATTTTTTGTATTATTATTATTTAAACGATAGCCCATTAGTAATTATAATTTCTTGATGATTTTGTTTGGTTTTTCTTTTTAATTAACTTAATTGAGTTACATTAAACTGATCTCATACACTGCTATAGTGTGACCTAAATTATTAGAATTCCCCTTATTTTGAGAAGTTTGGTGAGATGGTCGTTGAGCTGGTTAATAAGGCATTAACCATCAAGTCAATCAGTGACTTTTGACCAGTAAATCATTAATTAACATTGGTTAATCACTTATTGATATTGCTCATTCTGTGATTGCTCACCAAGTCAATAAATCAATATCGGTTCTTTTCAAGAAAATGAAGAAAACGGTCATTTTCCTAATTTAACAGAAGTTGGAGGTATTTGTAATATTTATGATAACGGTGCTTTAAAAAGTAACATTTTCCTGCGTATCCAGCTATTATCATTCTTGGGGCTTAACCTTTGAAAAGTTAAAAACAAATGTTAATTTTCTTGTTTTTCTTTTTCCCTTTTCTTTTCTGCTCTTTTTGATATCCAATCAATATGCTAATTTTTTTCTCCATTTACTTTGTTTTGTTGTTTGTTTATTTTGCTTACGAACTTTTAATTGGTCAAGCAGAAAAAGCAAGTAGCATGGAAGTACATGAACTTTCATGTTCGCGGTGCAGATGGACAATTGATAACTTTTCGAAGCTTGATAACAAGAAGCTCTATTCGGATATTTTCTCTACAGGAGGCTACAAATGGTAACTAAGTTTTGCTATTTATCAATGTGGTTGGTAGATTAAGGCCTCATTCATTTCACTGATTTGCGTTTTCAATTTTTATTTTGCTACAGTTAGATGCTCTCACAAAGAGTCACATCTAAATTTTACTGCTACAGTAAAAAGTTTTTATATAAAATCACATGTCAGCTCAAATTGAAACTCGAATCAACGAACTGAATGAGGCCAAAGTATATCGTTAACTAATTAGTCAATTCAGTTGATTAAACAGCATTCTGATTCTAATTGAAACATGCAGGAGGATAGTGATTGTCCCTAAGTACAACGTTGATTATTTGTCAATATATCTCTTTGTTCCTGGTTTGGCAACCTTGCCTAAAGGATGGTCTAGAGATGCCCAGTTTAGCTTTTCTGTCATAAATCAGATTGATAGCAAAAACACAATCAAAATAGGTACGATATTCTGTCTAATCATGATGTCCACATAAAGAAGTCATGAAGTAGCATAACAATTATTGGATAGTGATGCTGCTAAAATTGTGTTCATTTGTATTCTGCAGATACACAACATGTATTCAAAGCAAGTAAGAGAGTGTTTGGGGTTCCACCTCATTTATTCATCTTAGTAAACTCTCTTCTGCTAAGGGTTTTATTTTGAAAGATACATGCATTATTGAAGCAGAGGTATATTGTTATTGAGTGCTGCTAAAGTGCGGGAAAAATAAAAGTTGTGTGTGAATTAAGAACCACAAAGCTTTGTTTATATGAATTCTCTCCTACATACTTTACCGTAGTTTTTACTTTAAAGAAAGTTTGAATCTTCATATTTGTTGTAAAGAAAATATTGTTATGATCTTTTACAATGATAATGTAGGTAAGGTTGAAGAGAAACGAAGAAGATGGAGCACGCCTCGATACTGTCAAAAAGGTAAGATTAATTTGTGGTTGCTTGACACGTGTTTTAGTCTTTGTACCTGGAAAAGTTTTGAATGAAAAAAACTTTGAAGTAACCAACGTTTCCCCATAAAGCTTCTCAAGTGATTTTTGTTTTTGATTGATCAAATATTCTGTTAGCCTTGGCAAATTTCTTCAAATGATATTCTAAGGGAAATTTCAAGAATCCCATAAAAAAGATAACACTGTTTATTTTTACCATCAATTATAATCTTATCATTTATGCCATTAATATCTTTCTAGAATTTTTTTTTCCCTGGTGGGATATTTTTCGTATTCTACCAGAGTACGTTTTATGTTCTACCAAAATATTTTCTAATGGCATAAATAATAGGATGATGAAAAATTATTGATATTCTTGTAATTTTCTCATCTTTCTAATATGTGTAAGAACAGTCTGTTGAAGCTCAGGAGGAACAATCTAAGGATTCCAAGCCACCTGAGCACTCTCTGATATCAGTTAATGTGCCTCTGCCCCCAGAGCAATCAAAACCCTCAGCCAAAATTAAAGAACAGTCGGAACAAGAACCTGTTCTGGAGAAAACTAGAGTTCGTACTCAGACTAAAGATGATCCCTTTCGCAATAATGAAAATCCTGTTACTCGCTCAACAGTACTGGAAAGTGAGGAAGTTTCAACTCTTAAGGTGGAGGATACACAAGAAGAAACTAAAATGGTCGTGACCGGCCAATCCCTCCCTCTTGTCAATCAGTCAAGTGCAGAGCCTCCCGGGGTGAACTTAGCTTCACTTTTTTTTTTCCCCTATTTTGTTGTTTTTCCATTTCCTCTTAACTCTGTTGAATTTGGCTTTACCTGGTTCTTCTTTATTATGGTTGACCAATTCATTTTTTACTAATATGATTCAGGAGCCAACTGTTGTAGAAGCAGGAAAAAGATCCTCTTCATTTGCTGAATTTGATAAGTTATTTACTGACATTCAAAATCTATTGGGAGGAGAGAGTTCGAAGGCAGAAAATTTCAGCAGCCTTTTCCCACCTTCATGTAGTGTTGAGGAGATTGCCGATGCGAAGAAATTCTTAAGACAATGCCTCAATATGAGTCTTGCTAGTGTCATCCAATTGGACAAAGCTCCTGAGCTAAAGAATTCACTTGCTATCATGCTAACTACCGGTAGGTTTCCTAGTAACATGGTAGACAGGACAACCAAGTTTCTAGCCGACATTGACAAAAGTTGTGAGACGTATGAATCAGCAAAGCAAGACATAAGTGTGGCCCAAGAGGATGAAAAGGCTGTAGGTGAGCTGAAGACCGCTCTGAACCAATTGTTTTCAGAGTTCATACCTCTAAGGAATCAAGCTGAGACTGTTGATCGAGAAATAGCTAAGCTAGAGAAACAAATGGCTGAAAGGAAGGCGAAGAAGGCGCAGCTTAGTAAGAGACTTGAAGATTTGGCTGGTCGAGCAACTACTTCAAAAAAGGCAGTGGTCAGTGCTGAAGAGAAGATGAGGCTGTCTGCCGTCAAGAAGGAACAAGCAGAGAAGAAGATTGGTGACATGGAAAGGTCATGGGAATCTTTGAAGGTTGATTGTTCTCAATCGCTTTAGTAAATTTGATGGACATGTGAGGATTGGGAACACGCTATTTCGAGCTTCTTTTTGGAAAAGTACTCTCTTTTGGAGAAGTGTGGACGTGCAACAGCTAGTTAAACGTTCCCCAACTGGGAAAATACTTTCTTTCGGATATTCATATAAAGCATAAACTTTGTACGTATTTTTATATTTCCTCTTCTTGCCTTTCCATGCTTTGTTCTTGTCCTTTGATGGCCAATTTTGCATATTGGACCATCGACTTCTTAATATCTTATGTACAACGTTGTGGATGATTTCAGGAATTATATTTACATATCTAAAGGTGCTTAGTAGGTTGGAATATTTTCTAGTACACATTACTCTCATCAAAGTTTTTAAAAGAGAAACAAAGCAAAGTCGCCGCTAATCTCAATTACTGATTGTTTTGGATCCATGTATTTTCTCTTTTGCCCAAATCT